CAGCCCCCAAATCATGTAAGAACAACAACAACAACAAAAAGTCACTCAGAATTGAGAAGGCTGATTCCCTTGAGGACCCAGGCCATGCTGTGCATTAGGGCTATAATTCTAGTAAAGCACTCATCTGAAATACAATTTGTCTTAGCTTCCTTTGTACCAAACCACTCATTATACCTCTGATCCTATCTAACAGTTTCTGATATTGATAATTTCTGATTATTCTCCCTGCTTCATATAGATATTAGCATGCAAACTTCTGCCCCTTGCTATTGATTTAATTATTATTTACTTACTTATCAGTATGAATTTGTCGTCTCACCTATATTCTCCCCATACCCCTTTTGATCCTGTAAAATTTCAAATATGCATGTGTATAAATATGGTAGTATAATGTCTCTCCCTGATCCATTGCCAAGCTAGCTTCAAAAGTGACCAAGTCCTGTACAATTTTGGTTCCTCTTTATTTTTTATTGCTTCAGAAACCACCACCCTACATAGCTATTTGAGGCAAATCTTAGTAATGTCACCTAAAAAAAACTAGTATTTATCATCAAAAGTATGAGGCACCTTTTTTTTTAAATCACAGATATATGCTAATAAATTGTTTAGAATGGTCAAATAAATCACCATATAAGAAATCTCAATGAATTACCCTATGAATGAAAAATGAATGTAAGTATTTCTAACTCATTTTTGAAGAGGGCATGTGTAGTCAGAAGTTTTCCTGTGTTTCGTCCATCCTGCAGCCACTTGGACAAATAAACACACAGAGGCTTATATTACTTACAAACTCTATAGCCTAACAGCTCAGGCTTCTCGCTAGCTAGCTCCTATAACTTAATCCATGGCAATTAATCTATAAATTGCCATGTGGCTGTGGCTTACCAGTACTTTTACATCTTGCTTCTCCTGGCAGCAGCTGGCATCTCCTCTGCTTTCTTCTTGTCTCTCCACCTGGACTTCCTGCCTGCCTCTAAGCTGCCTTGCCATAGGCCACATGAATTTATTTATCAATAAATCAGAGCAACACACATTCACAGTGTACAGAAAGACATCCCACAGCACTTCCCCTTTTCTGTCTAATCAAAAAGGAAGGTTTAACTTTAACATAGTAAAATTACATATAATAGAGCAGTCATCAAGCAAGAATTACAGTTACAATATCTAGTCTACTTATATTTGGCAAAATTAGTAAATATTTTACTATCTATCCTATTTTGTGAGTCTTAAGTTTTATATCTAATTTATCTTTTATCATAACCAAGGAAAATTATAACTATTTAATCTTCAACTACATCAAAGACCCCAGAAGAATATAATATTACTTGAATAAACAGGAAGTACATTGTAAGCAACTTCCAAAAATCTAGAATGACAGAGACAGCTGGCTGCCTAGACAGTCACTCATAGTTCCTCTGCAATGTCAAGGCATCCATCTTCAGCCTATAGGCCTAGAGTTTCTCAGTTGCTTTTAACTCTGTCCTATAGAATGTCTGGCAGTCTCCTCTGTGAAGCAGGAACCTGAAGGACCATTTCACCTTGTTTTGGCAAATTCAGTGGTTATTTTCCTCTGAGTCCTGTATGTCCTGTATGTCAACAGTCCAGGCAAGAGGAGCTTCTTGCCTAAATGGTTATTTTTGCCATGAAAAAGATAACCTCTTTATGGAGTGTCTTCAGTTCCCATCTTCCTCTTTGAAGTAAATTGGTGCTGCCAGGAGCAGATGTGTCTCACTGTCCAGAAAAATCTAAATTTTAAAAACATTTTAAATGCCATATTCTGTAGGTCTTTGAAGTGTTTGAAGATTACCTACCTAACTGAAATATATCTATATACCTAGAAAACTTAACTAACATGACTATAAGTTTATCATGGGTGATTAATTATTAATCTGTATTTCTTAATTATACATTGCAATTTCAAATGATCTGTACAAACATAATACCTTAAACAAGAGTAGACACACACACACACACACACACACACACACACACACATATAAACAAAAGTAACTTTAAATTTGTATGAATAAACTAAAATCCATAGCAATGTAAAACATTTCAAATAAGTTGTTACTCTTTAAATGTAGATTCAATAATGTATCCTTTTATCCTATCATATCTATATCCTATCCTCCTTTTTCCCTTTAGTAAGATGTTGACTAGGACCAATAACAATTTGTAACCAACAACCTAAACAAAGACAAATATCCATAATCCAGCTTTTGCAAATGTGTGCATAGTTTTCTAGGCTACTTCCTGATGATTGTGTGTGCTGGTAGTCTTATGGGGATCCTGAGAAAATTTGAAATAATGGTCAAGTCCTGGGAAGACCGGCTATAACCTTTGTTGATAGGTACCATCTGTTAAGGTTCAGGAGTTCTGGTTTGAACAAATCTGATCCATTTTAACCAAGAACAAATCCATAGCCTCTTGCTTCCTGTGGAAACAAAAACAGAGCCTCCTTTCCAAAGCAACATATTCTTAGATCCAAATTTTGAGGTCAAGATACTATATATATATATATATATATATATAAAACTTAGCAGTCACTACAGTCAAATGTGTCTCTGCAGTTAAAAATTGCAAATACAATATAATCCAGACTCTGTGTGTGATTTCCATCTTTATGTGGCTATTTTTATATTATTTTTACTATCTCTTTATTTTAAATCTACTTCTTTATATAACTGCATATATTCCCCTTTATCTCTTTTTTAAGCCTACAAACATTTTTACACACATTATAAACTATTTAGAGGTTTATTCCATCTGAATCTGACTTATTGTGAATCTACAATCTTCTCTGACCAGGAGAGATGTTAAATTGTTAAACTGAGTGGCTAAGATTGAATCAGTAGCCCCGGCTGCTGACTGCTCATTTCAGCTTCTCAATATGGTGGAGATAATTCACTGCCAGCTCTGGGAGCCATGCTCTCTGCTAACACTGGGAAGCAGAGGGTCCATGCCTCCATCCAGCATTGTGTAGGCCAGAAACCTCTTGTTTTGTCTTATTTTTTTCCGTACTAGCAAAAGCTAAATCAGCCATGCAGTTTGCTGCATGGCTTAGAGACGCCTGTGTGTGCTGCAGTAGGAATCCTCCATGCTGTGTTCAAGCTCGCATGCCATGAACCTGCCATACTGTAGTTCATGGCTTGCCTGAGACAAAACTAGGAAGCTGTTTTTAGCTCCATTTTAGAATCTCTTATTAAGTTCTCTGAGGTTTTAGGTAGAAACTTGAGCCAACACATTGGGCACCCAAATGTAATCAGAAGTTTTTCTGCCCCTATCCTGCAGCTGCTCCAACAAGTAAACACACAGAGGCTTATATTACTTACAAACTGTATGGTCTAATGGCTCAAGCTTCTCTCTAGCTAGCTCCTATAACTTAACCCATTTCTATTAATCTATAAGTTGCCACATGGCCATGGCTTACCAGTACTTTTACATCTTGCTTCTCCTGGCAGCGGCTGGTGTCTCCTCTGCTTTCTTTCTGTCCCTCCACTGGGATTTCCTGTCTGCCTCTAAGCTGCCTTGCCATAGGCCAAATGACTTTATTTATCGATGAATCAGAGCAACATATATTCACAGCATACAGAAAGAGATCTGTAAACAGCAGGCATGCTTTTTAATTTTTGGATTTATTCTTTCAGAATTTATTCATGTACACACAATATATTTTGACCACATCCACCTTCCAATCACCCCTTCCAGACCTTCCCTCTCATGTACCCCTCCAACTTTATATCTTACTCTTCTGTTTTTAATACTCCAGAGTCCAAAATTAGTTATACATAATTGTCTATGGATATAAAGTCATCTATTGAAGCATAGACAACCTACCAGTGGCAACATTCCTGAAGAAAAATGACTCTTCTTCACCCAGCAGCCATGAACTGCAAAGAACTCCCCAAATATCAGAAAGAATACAGTACTGCAGGAGTTTATGGGACCCTGTTGTCTATTATTTGTTTTTATTCCTTCCTTTCACTTGTGTCCGTGTGCCAGTGTCTGCATGTGTGTGTGGGTGCACATGTGTGTTACATGCTTCTGAGTGCATAAATGTGTATACTTATGCATGTCCACACAGAAACCAGAAGAGGGTGTCAGCTGACTTCACTCACTCTCCACTTTATTCCTTTGTGACAAGATCAATAGCCAAATTGGAAACTTGCCATTTTGTCTAGGATGACTGGCCAGAAAGATCTAATTTTCTCTACTCTCCACTGCTGCAGTTACAGGCATGAGTAGCTGTTCCCGTAGTATTTTATACATATGTTAGTAACTCCAACTGAGCTCCTTATGCTTGCACAGAGTGCCATGTCCTCAGGTCCAGACTGCACAGCTTTTGGAATAAAGAAAATGTGAATTTCAGAAGAATTGAATGTTGACTATGAAGGCTGAGGTGGTGCAAATTCATAAACAAGATAGCATTCAAAAGTTCCAATTTCAGATATTAAAACTGAAGTTGTAAGCCTTTACAGCATGATATGGAGACTACAGTTAATTATAATACATAGTATATTCCCAGCTACAAAATTAGGCTCTAAGTGAAATCATAGAAAATGATGCAACTGTGAAGCAATTATGTGAAGCAATAAATGATCTTTGTTTTAACATTATTTCACTATGCAGTGTCATATGTAAATGTAATATTGCCCTCCACAAAATGAATTGTTAGTGAAAACTTGAATAATAATAGTAACAGCAAGTGTAAGAACAACCTTACTGTGGAGTCATCAATGTGTGAACTGGGTTTTAAATCCCAGCAGAACTGACTACATTGAATGCTGATTCTTGGCTATCGATTAAGGAGTAAGCATGCCTGCTGTAGTCAATGCTACTTCGGTCATCTTTGTCATATATTTTCCTCAAGATGGGTTGTCACATGAAGTTACTGATGGAAAGATAAAAGTCAATGGGTTTGATGTACATTGTTTATCTGTCTTCTAACTTTTCTGGCCACCAAGAGATTCATTCATTCATAGGTTCATTCATTCCAGGAACTCTCACCCAGTCCTGTTGGATAGATTCTCAGATCTTTGATGCTGGCTACTGGAGATATGGGAATCAGGTGCCTGCTGCGTGCCACAGGTCAGTGGAAAAGAGTACTCTCATCTCCCTGTAGCTTTGCTGTTGTAGCATTTCTTACCCATAATTGTTAGTTTTTCTAGCAACAGTGTCATGTGACTGTGCTATTAACTGTTTGTGTTGCATTTCTTGGTTTGAGATTCCTCATGCAGTGCCTATAAGTACCAAAGAAAATGAAAACCCATAGTGAACAAAACCAAACTTTCAGCAAAAGCTGACATTTTACACAGAAAAGCAATCTATCAGAGAAGCACACAGATTTGAATGAAAATAAAAATCTGCAAAATTTTCATCATCATTATCATCATCATAATAGTAATAATAATAATAATAAATATTCAGTGTCTAAAATTGTGCAATGTGTTCTTGGATCTGACATAAAATGATTAATTGCACATCACAGTTTAAGAAATAGTTTTATATTTTGTTTCTATCTCTTTTGGTTGCTCAATTTGGTTCACTTCCTTCTCTGTCATTGCCCCACTTCGGAGTTTTCTGTCTTATATGAAGGGCCAGAAAAGACCAGGAAGGTGAGTATGAATATTAAAATCATCATTAAGTGCCCTGTGATGATGGAGGCAAACTTCACCTGGAGATGAATGTGTATATCCTACTTTCTATGCAGTGCAAATTAGCAATCAAAAAATGCCTCATATTCTTGTCCTCAGGTAAATGTAATAAAGACAATTCTTCAACTAAGGCCCTCTTTACCCATTTGATAACCAAGATCAACCATCATATCATCCATTGGGTTTTGCTTAATCAGCTAACTCTCAATCTTGGCATGGCTCTTCATCAATTAAACTGCCTTCTCTTATTTTCACACTGTGTGATTGGCTTTAGTTTTAATGAACTATTGTCTTGACTGAACAGGGGTTGCTACTTTTCATCCAAGATATCAAGAGTAGTTGTGGGTTTTCTTATTTACCCAAGGTTTAGCTCCTTCTTTGTGAGGTTGGCTAGAGTGGTCTTAGAGTAGCTGGAGACATTTAGAATCTGTCTTTATCCAGAATGTAGTGTGTTGCAATTAGATGCAAACATAGATTAGATTGCCACAGTGTCTTGTATATGTTCCCGAGAAAGGATGGTGAGTCAGTTGGAGACTGCATGGCTGTTTTTTTTTTGTTTCCCAGAGCACTCTACTTCCTCTTACCTGGTCAGATTGCTTATTTCATATTTACCTGTAATCCCTATTATTTATCTTCAGAGTTTTCAGTGTCACAGTCTTAACCCTAACTTTCCTTTTAACTCTAACATTTGTTTTCTATGAGCAGTAAAAATATCTGTTCAAAAACATATCAGCAGAATCAGATATCTACAAAGCATGGCTATTCAATCTCAATGTGACACTGTCCTTGTATTTTCAGGGTCCTCCTTGGTAGGATTTGGGGAGGGAGGAGAAGTGAAAACTGAGAGAGTGGGAGAAAGATCAACCTTTAGGCAAAGGGGTCGTCAGGGATCCAGATGAGTGATAATGTGAAACGGGTTTCACCCACCTCAGAGCACAGAATTAATTATTTTATGGTACCCTATATGAGAGTAGGGAGAAGAAAACTATTATGCCCAAGTACATAGCCCCAGGAGCAGGACACTTGAGCTAGACTTAGAGGATAGTTTTTGTCCCATATTTTTGTTTGTGCAGGTGAAGGAAAGGTCCTGAGGACACTCCTGCATCAAGGGTATATGGAATAGCTATGGGCTCATATAGTGTACAGTGGAATGTTTCTGGCTTCAGTCATTCTCCATTTGTGGGACTGTTATCTGAAAATTTCTGGTCCCAGGATGGAGGAGACTTAGTTCTCATGACATCTGTGAAGTAGTGTGTGAAGCTTTTTGCATGAGCTAGAAGTTATGAGGTCCAATACATATGGTCTGTGCTTTTCTACTTTTCACTCATCTTCCCGAGAACATCAGCATTACTGTAGGTTAAATGTCCCCTATAAACACTATCACTATCAGCCATGTCCATCACTTGGGCACAAGGAATATGTTCAATGTGAGTGAAGATGTACCACATTTCTGAAACTTGTACTAGATCAGAGACTCAATACACACAAAATATAGAGTATTTTAAATAACATGTATAGCAATATAAATTTTTCTAATTACACATGAGTAGATGGTAGAATGCTAATGTCTAAACCCTCTTATATAAAATATAGCATTGAAATCAATTTCACCTTCTTGTGGAACCCAATACTCTTTTCATGGCACATATGCCTGGAACATTTGAATCAGATCATACTGATACTGATACTGAAAGAACACTTTCACATTAGATTCACTAACATTCCCTTATGGAGATGGGGTTTCATAGAGCATGTTTGTTGCCTGTTTCCCAAAAGGCAAATAAGCAGTAATGATTCCTGTGTTGGGAAAGAAACTCTTTGGTGGCATACCTGTACTTCAGTTGACCATATTCCTGTAAGTAAGACCTCACACATGCTCCTGGAAGTAACCTCAATTAAACTAATTGGATCACCAAGGTAGACTTAGGTAGAATAATTCCTTTGGATTATTATTAGATTCTTGTCCCAGTTGGCTTTCTGATCCTGTGGTAAAAATAAAGAATTTAGGGAGGAAAGGATTTATGTTAGCTTACAATTACAATTCTCATAAAGAGAATTCAAGGCAAGAACACAAAGAATGAAATGAAGCAGAGACCAAAGAAGAATCTTGCTTATTGGCTTGTTTCCCATGGCTTACTCAGCTAGCTTTCTTATACAACTACGGGCCACCTGCCCAGGGGTGGCACTGCCTGTGGTGCCTTGGGCCCTCCCACATCAATTACTAATCAAGAAAACACCTGCAGTGTTGTCTACAGGCCAATTGGAGCAAATAATACTTCAATAAAGATTCCCTCTTCCAAGCTATGACAGGTTTGTGTTTTTGACAAAATCAACCAGGGCGTTTCTATTTCTGAGAATAATAAAAACAGATTCGACTAGAAAAGTCACCCAACATATGCATTCTTTTTGCACTGTGATTTTCTTCATATGGTGATTGGGTTTAGATTCATACACAATGTGGGCTTAGAAGCCTACACTGATAAGAGGGAGTCTTAAATATAGAACAGAGCTTGTGGGTGTGGAATCTATGTACCAGCCTTGGAGGTACATATGGGTTCACTGGTGGGTTCACAGCTACAATAATATATTTTCTCTTTTTCAGTAATGCAATACTCATCACAATTTACCATGACCACTGTAGTGAACTAATGTGGATGAGTTTAAGAGTCTTCTCTATAAGGCAGACAAAGATTGTAATACTCGCAAGCAGAGCTAGGGCCCCAAAGGAACCCAATTTGAATATTTCCTCCTATTTCTTTTTTAGCTCTTGGTGTCCTGCTTGTCTGGTCAATATTACAGCTGAAGAATACTTCAGGTGAGTCTATTCATGGATTAAACTGGGGTAAAATATAGTGGGGTATGGAATCATCTACCCTGGAAGTGAAGTGATCACTGTTAAGTGTTGAACTTTTTATGATCTTTATATTAAGTACCATTGCCCTATCTCTAACATCTTCATCATCACCATCATTGTTTACATCACTTATCTGAACAACTACATATGAGATTGCATTTGATGCTCATGATATCACTATGATAAGATACCATAATTATGAAGAAGTCAAAATCTACACATGATAATTGGTTCCTTAGAAGAGAACTGAAAGATGCTAGCTTCTGCTCTTGCACTAAACTTGTGTCATTGCTGGCATTGTGATACATGTTTTGAACTCAGGTCATCATACTTACAGATCAATATTACTTTAGAGCATATTTAAATAGGCAACCGAGGCATCTCCACAGCTCTTGAAGCTGAGTCTTCTGTAGACCCATTCCTGTCAGTCATTGGTATAAGGAGCCACTCCTCATGGGAAGGCATTACTAACTTGTCCTCTGGTGATGAATGAAGATTTGATGGCTAAAGAAAGTTCCTAGGGAAGGAAAAGTAAGGCCTCCTAATTGAAATTTTACAAAAATTTGAATATTTTTCCAAATATCTATTTGGAAAATAGATATTTATATAAGAATATGGCGAGGCTGGAGAAATGGCTCAGAGTTTAAGAGCACTGACTGCCTTTCGAGAGGTCCTGATTTAATTCCCAGCAACCACCGGTGGTTCACAACCATCTGTAATGAGATCTGGTGCCCTCTTCTGGCCCGCGGTCATATATGCTGTATACATAATAAATAAATAAAACTTAAAAAAATATTTAAAAAAAAAAAGAATATGGCCATGGGAAGTCATTGTGAGCATTTATATCAAACAGTGGGATGGATACAAAGAAATCCCGCAAAGGACATGAGACAATGCATAAATGTACTGTGTGTTCCCTGCAGCATCCTGCCCTCAATGCCATGAAAATGCCTCCTGCTACAACAGCACTCATTGTATTTGTAAAGATGGATTCTGGGCAGGACCTGATAAAGGAATAATTATTGAGCCCCATGTGAAATGCGAAGGTAAAGGAGTCTGTGTTCATTTGCTTCTCATTGTTGTGATTAACACTGTAGGCAAACTGGGAAGGAAAGGGTTTCTTTCATCCTACACTTCGAGGTAACATTCTATTACAGACAGAAGCCAGGAACTCAAGGCAGGAAACTGGATATAGAAACTGAAACAGAAACCATGGAGGTGTGCTGCTTACTTGATTGCTCTTAGAGGCTTACATAATGTAGCAATTTGAATGAGAATGTTCTCCATAGGCTCATACATTTAACTGCTGTGTTCCCAGTTAGTGGAACTATTTGGGAAAGATTAGGAGGAGTGGGCTTGTTGAAGAAGGTGTGGCACTGGGGGGTGGGAGCTTTGAGGTTTTAAAGCTCATGACCCTCCCAGTTAGCTCTCTTTGCCTCCTGCCTATGGATCAACTGAGATGTAATCTCCCAATTACTGCTTTAGCACCACGTGTGCTTGTCAACTGCCATGCTTCATGTCATGATAAGCCCCCATCAAATGCTTTCTTTCATAAGTTGCCTTTTTCATAATGTCTCTTCACAAAAATACAACAATCTATGAAAGCATTTTTTCAACTGAGGTCCCTTTTTCAAAAAGAGCCTTCATTGTGCCATGTTGACAAAAAACAAAAACAAAAAACAACAACAAAAAACAAAGAGCATAAAGTTTTAGTTTAATTGTTATTGAAAATTCATATGACCCTTGATCAAACATTGATAGATCATGCAGATTTCAGAGATCTTTAGAAGAATCATTGACAATGTAAAGGTATTAACCAAGTGTGCTTGTGTTATACTCTTTGGACAGACAAGGACCATGTGACTCTTTGGATCAAGAAATCTTTGATCTGTAGCCCTCTTTGTTTCATTTTCCTTGTGACAAAATACCCTGAAATAAGCAACTTTGAGAAGTAATAGTTTGTCTTAGCTCAATATACCAGATTATAGTCCATAACTATAGGAAAATCAAGGTGGATGAAACATTAAACAGCTATTCACAGCCACAATCATGAACAGAGGCAGAATGAATGATTTAAGGCCAGATATGAGGCAGCTGTCTCCTTTTTCACTCAGTCTTTGGCCCAGCTCAAGAAATGGTTCTGTTCACATTCAGGGTAGAAGGTCATCCCACAGCAATTAACTCAATAAAATGAATCCCTTAGAGGCATGCCCACAAGCTAACAGAATCTACAGTATTCCTCATTGAGAATCCCTTCCCAGACAATTCTACCTTCTGTCATGCTGACAATTAAAACTAATAATCACAACTCTAGTTCTAGAGTTGCATCAATTTGACAATTAACACTAATCATTAAACAGTCTCCTCTCTTAAACTTCAACTTTGGTCTGCCAGCAGTGAAAATGGATGTTCACAAAAACTGGTCATGTTATTATGGGAAGAAATCAGAATTTTGGGAGAACCTGCTGAGATTTCTAAGTTCTTATATCCTAGAACCTCGAATTGGACCAGGAACATATGGGCAGTGGGAACAAGAGAGTTATTTATAAAGAAAAAAATCAGTAATATTCCTAAAGATAGAAGTAGATTGGTAACCTTAGAAAAGTCAGAAGTTGACACTTTTTTTTGTTATCAACATCAGTTCTGGTCCTTTGTAGATCATTTACATCACATCTACTTTCTCTGAGAATTTCTTAAGCTTTTCTTGGCCCTCACCCTATTTTATTAAATGTATCCCTGCTAGAAAGATAATTGCAGTCTTTAAGCCAAATCTATTCCTTGATATATAAGTATTGATGCCTCTCTCTCTTTCCACCTGTCTCTTGAGACAGTATGAGCATTGTGTCAGAAAAGCTTTAAGTAGTATTCTCTTTCAACATTACCCTTATCCATTTCTTCTTTTTTGTTTTTTGTTTTTCGAGACAGGGTTTCTCTGTGTAGTTTTGCGCCTTTCCTGGAACTCACTTGGTAGCCCAGGCTAGCCTCGAACTCACAGAGATCTGCCTGCCTCTGCCTCCCGAGTGCTGGGATTAAAGTGGCGCATGCCTTTAATCCCTTATCCATTTCTAATAGTGAGCTCCTTTATCCTGAATTTATTCTTCTATTAGGTAAATTTTGTTAATGTGATAAACACCATGACCAAAAGCAACATACAGAAGAAACAGTTTGGTTTGGTTTATGGTTCCAAGGAAAGGAGTCTACAATGATGGGAATAAGCATGGCATCAGGTATTTGTATAAACAGATGACATGACTGCTTCATCGTATGGTTACAGGGAAGTTTTTTTTTTTTTTTTTTTTTTTTTTTTTTTGGAGATATATGAGATAGAGAATAGCCAGAGACATCTGGAAGGGTCCAAAGTGGAGAGAGAAAGAAAATTTAACATGGCCAGAAGACTGGACATGGACATGGCTATCTGCAGGAGAGGGGAGATTAGCAGGGGATGGAGAATAGAGAAAACACAGTGAGAGGAGCAAAACAGAGAGAGGAGGGCAGGGCTGCAAGGAGAATGAGTAGCTGGGGGATATCCAATAAGCGGGAGGGAGATTAGAGTAGGGGAGGAGGTGAGAAGGGCTAGGATGCTAGCATGAACTTTGAAATGTATATCAAGTATTTGTGATACTGAGGGGGCCTAGAGGACAGCATGAGTTTTGATATGGTAACAGGTACTACAAGTAGCCAGCCATATGTCCCTTTTATTTAAACTGTTATATTTGATACCTTGGCTGTCATTGGTTCATGGGCATCTTGTGTGACAAAATGCATTTAGACCAACTTTAAATATTCCCCTAGTCCCTTATAGTCTATACAATGCTCAAAAGTCCAAAGTTAAAATTCTATTCTGAGACTCAATGGTCTCTTAACTGTGACCATTGTAAAACCGAAGCACAAATTGTAGGCTTCATACATGCGATGGCACAGAGCATACATCACCTTTCCAAAGGGGAGTAGTGGGGACATAGTGAGGAAAGGTCACACAAAGCGTATGAAACACAGCAGGGTAAACCTCAAATGCTGAAGCTCCAGGTCTGGTATCTGGGTCATTAGCTGATAAGGACTTAGATGGCTCTGCTCCTCTGGGCTTGCTGCCTCAACATAGTTCTCTCTCTCTTTCTTGAGCTGGTTCTACTTCTGTTAAGCTCTTCTTGGCAGGTATCTCATAGCTCTGGCAACTGCAACACTTGAGATCTCCACTGCAATACAGGTTTCACTTTTACAAATCCGCACAGTAGGCTCTCATGGCCTTCTCTCATGAATGCATGCCCTGGCCCACTTTGCCTTCCCCCAGGAGGTCCCTGAATCCACAGAAAGAGTCCAAAACACCCTCATTCTTGCACTATTCATGCCTCCAAAGCTGATAACTTGGTGACAAAAGTGCCAAGTTCTGCTGCCATTCAGGATGGGCCCTTGCCTCCTTGGATCAGATTTGCAAAGTAGTTGCTATGCATTCTCACAAAAAAGCTCTTTAGGTCTTCTTTTTTCTCATTTCAGTAGCTGATTGTAGTCTTGCCCTCAGGGCTCCTTTTCATTGTTCCAGTGCAGAGCAAGAGGTCTAACCTTGAGGTTCTAACCTCCAACAATCACAGCCTCTTTGGGGGCATTGATAAACTTTCTAGGATTCTTTTCTCTCTACAGTGAATACTTTAAGTTTCTTTCTGCCCTGCTTTCTGATTTTCCTTATAGAAGTGAGTGAGATAATCAGTAACAACCAGGCATAGATTCAGAACTGTGCTGCCTGGAAATGTCCTCTGATGAGTAAATTAGTCAATTATTTTTAAGTTTAGATGTGTACCAATTATCAGAAAAAGGGCAGAAAACATCTAGATTCTTTACTGAAGTATAACACAAGTAGCCTCTAATCCAGGGACTAACAGAGAACTTATTTTTCTCTGAGATCTCTCCTCTGCCTCAGACCTCTAATGTCCTCCTTGCACTATTGTGTTTTGAGATCCTTCAATAACAGCTAATAAAGCTCTGCTTATAGAGTCAACCAGGTTTCTAGTCCAGACTTCCAAAGTCTTCCACTTTCCTCAAAAGGACAGCATGGTCAAGTCAATCACAGCAATAACTCCACTTCATAGTATCAACTTCATTTTCTGTTTTATATTATGTATATTGGTGTTTATCTGCATGCATGTCTGTGTGCCATATTCATGTGGTACCCATGGAGGCTGGAAGGTAACAGGTCCACTCCACTGGAACTGAAGTTACAGATGGTTAAAAGTTGCCATTTGGATTCTGGGAATTGTACTTGGGTCCTCTTAAAGAGTACCCAGTGCTCTTAAACACTGATCTATCTCTTCAGCCCCTCAACTTCTGTGTTAATTATACTTTTGTTGCTGTTATAAATGACATAACCAAAAGCAATGCATGGAATAAAATGCTTGTTTTGGCTTATGGTTCCAGGGACAAAGTCCATAATGTCCCAAAGTCCAGGGAAAGCCATAGCATGAAGCAGTCAGAGATGATATACCACATCTCAAATACACACAGGAATCAGAAGGATCCAGGAGAAAGTGGGACAACGCCATAAATACTTGAAGACAGTGTTATTCTTATTCCAATAGCTTTCTTAAACAGTGCTACCAACAGAGAGTAATTATTCAAATATTTGAGCCTGTAGGGAATATTTATTATTTAAACCACTACCATTCCCTTGTTGCTGGGTGTATGCTTTGAGTCAATTTGACAAACTACATGAATCAGCATTAAAGAAGCTACTCAATCCTTACTTTGGAAGTGTGTCACAGTATTGGAGAAATTACTGCCACCATCACCTTGCCCTAAAATCCACTTCTCAGCTTTTAATCTATTCCACTATTCATTTTTTTTTCATTCATTTACTAGTACCTCATCACTATTCTGAGTATTATATAAAATACTTCAACGTCTGGAAGGTTGCTGCTGCCCACCTCATAGTTCTCTGGGTATTATTGCTTGGGCATGTTACTCTATAAAGCACATGTGTGTTTTTTGTTGACATTTGTGATAATTAATCTTCACTGTCAACTTGACTGTATTTGGAATAACACCTGTGGGCATTTCTGTAAGGATCTTTCCAGTGAGTCTTCAATGAGGAAGGGTGATGTACCCTGAATGTGAATGACAGGACTCCATAGACTTGAATTCCAGACTAAATGAAAAGGCAACTAAGAGAAAAATCAGCTTAGTACCAGTATTCATCTCTCTCTGAAGCCTGGTTACTTATGCAATGTGACAAACTATATCTGTAGCTATGTCTTCCTTTTATCAATGACTGTTTCCCACACTTACATCACAAGTCAAAATAAGCCATTACTTCCTTAAATTGCTTTTGGTATGTGTTTGGAGACATAATAAAAACAGTTTCTGAAGGGGAATTGCATTACATTTATAAATTAATTCAAGGATAACTGTCATCTTTATCATATTGATTTATCCTAACAAAGAACAAAGGTTATTGTTTGGTAAATTTACAAATGAAATATAGCAGTAGAAACTCTACAGGCAAGAGAAAGCAAGTGATTTTTCTTCATTTGCAGATATTAATGAGTGTCTATTGGAGGTGCTGGTGTGCAAGGATGTGTCATATTGTAAAAATAAAATTGGAACTTACACATGCAGCTGTATAATAAAATACCCTATCTTCAACTGGGTAGCTGGCATTATTGATATTGATGATCCTAATTGTTACGGTAAGTCTATACATACATTTTTTTCCATTATGCAAGGGCAGGTGGGTGGATATAGCTTATGACAGCTATGCTACAATTGGCTGGAATATTAGAGTTATTTTTATATCTTCATCTCTTTGCTGTATTTGACATTTTACAATGCAATGCCAACTAGTCCATGGGATCAAATAAACATTTCCAAATAAAAACCTTCCAAATTTGTCTCCAATACAGGTCTCTTCCCTTGTTCTATAAATGGACAGCTCTGATTTTCTTCACAACTTCACAGCTTCTTTATCTGGAAATAATACCAAATTCAGTTCACATGTCAATCTGTATTCACAGTAAACCCCTTGAGTTCATGCTAATATTCCCAAGCCTTTCTTCGTGTGCAACTTCTTTCTACAGCAATGATAAATCAGCTTCTCAAGAGTCACAATATATTTTACTGCTCAGGTCACACAGAATATCATGCTTTAAATAATGCTGCATGAAGAGGCAGTGCTTTCATTTACAAATTGATTTTAGTGAACAATTTAAAAAATTGTTTTTTCATGCAAGAACTTTTGATGTTTCCCCTTCTCAAATTCCTCTTAGGTCCATGTCAGGTCCAAGTCACCTGATAGAGCAACATCTTTGTGAAATCTCTGAACACCATCTTATAAGAGCCAATTAGCTGGACATCAAATGATGCCTCTTTTTTTTGGATTCTTTTTTTTTTAATTTTATAATTTAATTTAATTTTACATATCTTTGAAGGCAAAGACTCCCCTGGGGATTGAGTTCAACCTGGTAGATTCAGTCCATGGAGGTCCAATCCCCTCCTCCCAGGCTGAGCCAAGTGTCCCTGTATAAGCCCCAGGCTCCAAACAGCCAGCTCACTCACTGAGGACAGGTTCCGGTCCCACTGCCTGGATGCCTCCCAAACAGATCAAGCTAATCAACTGTCTCACTTATCCAGAGGGCCTGATCCAGTTGGGGGTGCCTCAGCTATTGGTAGAAGAAATAGATTCATCAGTCAAAGAAACAAATGACACCTCTTTAATGCCTATTTTCCTCAGCAATGACTGCCCTTCTTCTAGTGTGTTTCAATCAATATTGTTAATGAGGCCTTACCTGCTGATGAACAGATGTCACCAACAGCTTCTCTATGATATCCCATTAAGGACTTTTTTTGACTTTCAGATTATGCATTCTTTGTCTCATGGATAGATATGAAATAATAATAATAATAATAATAATAATAATAATAATAATAATAATAATAAATTTTTAGCTTTCCTAGCACTCAGACTGATCACATCCACCAGTCTCTTCTATAACCTCATTAGCAAGGTTATAAAATATCTTTTATATTTTATTTATTTATTTAAAAGACTTCCCTAATCCATGTGAGATGATTATCATTGTTTTTTATTCTCAGTTATTAATAAAAATATTGTCTGGCTGTGATTATCATTGTTTTTCATTCTCAGCTATTAATACAAGTGTTGTCTAACTGTAAATTGTGTATTTCTCTTCCTTTCTATTTCAAGTCAAATCTGGTACTATCTTCTCTAATTTTATCTTGCTATCTTTCACTTATTACTTTATTTTTTCTATGAGTCCAAAGTTTTGGATCCCAGGTAGGGTTCTTTACCACAGATTTAATTTATAGTCTCTTACTTTTTAATCCAGCCAGGTCTAGGGAATAGCCAATACCTACATCTTATATTCCCACTTTTCTGCTTTCCCTGCCAAATCAAGAGACTAATGCAATACTCTTTCTCAGTGTGATTCCTCTCTTATCTGCCAAGCTCTTTCTGGGAAGAGACCTGAACTTAGTTGCATGCCTTTATGCACACAACAAAGGTCAAGCAATGGATGCCACAGATTGCTTATGACCTCCTCCCACATATGCTAATTTCAAGGATTGTAATATGTTTTCTACTCCATCATCAGGTTGGTTGGCTTTCCTACAATACCTTGATGGACTCCAATCATCAATGATGCCTGCCACTACATACCAAGTAGAAGATGGCCACTCTGTGATTCCTTCCACGGACACTCCACTCTCAGGCAGCTTACCCTCAGTTGCATATCCTATCTTACATCACAGGGAGCATGCCACCACCACTACAGCAAGAAGGCACATTATGCCTTACTATTTGAGGAAAGGTAGCCATATTGGGATTGCCTCTGCAGACATCCATCATCACAAACACCAGACACTGTTACATGTCCTACAATCCAATACAGGGGCTACACTGCTGTTGCTTTCAAAAATCATCTCTGGTTTTGTTGATGCCATATGACTTTTCATGGATGATATGAATAAGTTATTCACCAATGATTCTACCCACATCTAACTTACTGAGCCAGTGAGTTTACTAGAGTTACTTACAAGACTGTCATTGAGTGGTTACTAATAGGAGCTATTTCAAAAAGCCCACACAGCAGAGATTACAACTCTCCACAGATATGGAGCTCCCTGAATGCATTTTTTAAAGCAATTCATCTGATCTAACTAGAGAATCTTCTCTCCTCAGCAATTGTTACTGCTTGTATAACCAAGGGGAGAGGGGCTTGAGAATATTCTAAGTTTCATAAACTTCTTTGAGGCTTTTGAATTTTGTTTACTTACTGAGTTTTAATGGGTCTTATCCAGAAGAGCAGGTTTCAATTCAGAGGACATAGCTGCACAACAAAGATACTATTTCCCTTCTAAAATCCTAACATAGTAAAAGCATGTCTAAGATCCAATGTAAAAATACATCACAATAGTAGCAAGGGTTTGGGAATGATAAAAGATTTGGTAAGAAGTAGGAAATGATACAAAAGGAAAACAGCATGGTATATGAACAAAGACCATTTACATATGTATTATGATAGAAGAAATAACAAGATTCAGCTGTAGGGTACATTTTCAACTTCTTTTTTTAATGTTTTTATTTATTTTTGAGAATTTATTTTGAAAATACATTTTTAAGAACTTATCTTGAGAATACATTTTATCATGTTTTTCCCTCTCCTACAACTTCTCTTTGATCCTTTCCTCTCATTATACATGCAACTATATGTTCTTTCTCTCTTAAAAAAATTCCAAAGCCAACTAAATAAACAGCAACAAAAACAACAATAAGAACATGGACGGGCTGCAGAGCAACCAGGAAAATATCCAGCATGAGGGTGATTGGTAAATAATTGTGAAGATGTGGTGTTTTCCATATCTGATTTAAGTGTGGCTTTTTTTTCAGTGAACAATGGGAAGAAAATAGGAACACAAGCAGATATTTGGGTGAGTGGAGCAATATCTTGGTTTGGAAATCATCTAGTTTGTCTTGCTGTGTAATTCTCTTGCATAAGCCCTACCGATACTCATTCTTATTATAGAGTACTTCTTATTCATAGTCTATTTTGTCCTCTGCCCCAGGTAAACCTGGAAATATATGCATAGTAGTTTTTGTTGTCATGATATGGGGAGCTGTTATACCTACAACTAACTTATAAAATATCTGTGACTGTGACATATCTCACCCTTCTAACATGTCCAAGACAACCTTCTACCACTGGGAATTAACTACAATAATATGTCCATGGAAATTGAGAAAATTTGGGGTGGATTTATAGTATTTTATCTTTCAGTCAAAGACTTTCGTAAAATGTCAATAATGTATCACTCATCCCATAGCACAATGGCTAAGGTTGTTAGCTTCTGGCACCAGGCAGCAAAACTTGGTCACATTCCTTGTTCTTTAAGTTTTGATAAGAATCTATATAATTGGCTATATTTTTGGAAAGGGAGAGTGGAGTGAACGTGAATCCAAAAAGAACTTTGCAAAAAGAGCTACCACAGTACTTCACCAAGTGGGACGCCACATATTGGATGAATACTCCGGTGTACCAATGAAGGGTGAAAATTCTACACTGGGTATAGGTAAGAAATATCAAGTTGATTTATTATAGCATCATAAAAATGATTGGGTCCTGGTATACTCATGGCCTATGAGGAATAGAATTTGTTATTTCCCAGAACTGAAGACTTGATATATGAAACAACCACATGAGTAGCACTCTCCCCACACATGGGAGAGTTAAGAATGAGTTAGTCACATTTCATCACTATGACAGAATAGCTGAGTAAATCCACTTCAAGCATAGAAGGTTCACCTGACAGTGGGTGAGCATGGTTGGGTCACAGCTTTTCATTTGGCTCTTTTGAGAAAGCCAACATGATGTGGGGCCATGTGCAGTGAGACAGAATATCATGGTTCTACCAAAATACTATGCAGAAGGCAGAAAGAACAAACAAGGGCCAAGATGTACTTTTCAAAAGCAAACCCACAGTGGCTTATCTCCTCCAACTTACCCACTAGTTTTTAGAATCTTACAAAAATACCATCAATCTGTGAATCCAGTTATAAATAAATAAACTGATGATGTTAGAGGCCTTAAATAGAATCCCCAAAGACATGGGTAATGAGGCCCATAACATATTGTAGGATATTTATACAATTCCTACTTGTACCAAGTGTGTATAGTACATGCTTTTTTTGAAAAATGTCCAAAAGGGGAAGGGTGTCCAATCCTCTTTGCAATCTGGCTTCTTACATATGATAATATTGATGTAGCTCTGTCTGGCCCATATTCTTCTGTCACATAAAACAACTGATTAACTTAACTCTCAAGATCCAATCAATCACCTGTCAATAGCTACCAACTGAGGACAAAGCCTTCAGCATGTGGGTCTTATCAGGAGACATTTCACAATCAAATGATTAACAACTAGTAATAGCATTAACTATTATTATTGTTGTTATTGTTATAATTGTGAAAGAACTTAATTTCTCATTGTATTCAGTGTATGAAACGAAGAGTTGCAACAGTATGATTCTTCTGGAAGCTGGAAATAACACGATGGAGATTGACTGCACTAGTGCTCTCAAAGAAAGCAAGAGTAGAGGTACTGTGTTTAAAATAAACATATTCTCCTTCTTAGTGACTGGGCAGAGATGGCTCAGAGGTTAAGTGCACTGACTGCTCTTCCAGAGGTCCTGAGTTCAATTTCTAGCAACCACATAGTGGCTCACAATCATCTATAATGGTATCAGATGCCCTCTTGAGGCATGTAGGCATACATGCAGACAGAGCACTCATACCTAAAAAAAATACATAAATAAATAAAATCAATAAAAAGAATTTAAAAATCAACTCATTGTTATAACTTTATCTTCCTTGGATTTACAGATGTCAATTAGTAATGATGATGCGTTCACTCACAATTTCCCAGGGAGAGGAATTCTAACAGCAGGTAGAAAAGATCTTCCTTGACTACTCATTAGGCATACCCCAGAGCCAAAGTTGAGGGGCTCTTATAAGGGCAGCATATTTTGCAGCATACACTGAAGTAAGAGCAGAATTGTACTGCTGTCCTTTCTGACAAAGTGCAGGCTTGTCAAATTTCAGTATGATAGTCTATCATCTTAAAATTCAACAGTGCCAGGAAATCATTGCCTTGCCCACTGTTGCTTTTGAGATTTGATTTATAAAGACTTTATTTTTATTAAAGCAGTTACTCAGTTGCTCTTTATCCTGACAAACTCATTCTTTTAAAAGACAATATGGCAAATACTGTAGGATTGGGGCTCTTTGTCATAACTATTGAACTTTTCTGAGTTCTTTTTTTTTTTTTTTGTAAATGCAGGCATAGATGATATGCTGATAAAGGGCCATGTCTGCATCAGTCAAACTTCCCATGCAAAGACAGAGAGCAGGCTGGGTTTGACATCACCCTCAATAAATGTCTGAATAAAGAAGGGAGGGATGGGGTGGAGAATGAAGAAAGAAAAGATGGAAATGCATATAAAGAATTTCATATAGAAAGATCTGGTAATCTTGAAAGAGAAGGCACTTCTGCTGTATTACTCCACAAATTTCTAATACTCCTACCTCATCACTACTAATTGAAATCTGTAAATCCAAGGAAGATAAAGTTATAAAGATGAGTTGATTTTTAAATTCTTTTTATTAATTTTATTTATTTATGTATTTTTTTTAGGTATGAGTGCTCTGTCTGCATGTATGCCTACATGCCATAGAGGGCATCTGATTCCATTATAGATGGTTGTGAGCCACCATGTGGTTGCTAGAAATTGAACTCAGGACCTCTGGAAGAGCAGTCAGTGCACTTAACCTCTGAGGCATCTCTCCAGCCCCCAATGAGTTGATTTTTAAAAGTGTAGTAAATAATAACAGAGGTGGTGATTGATTTTAGTCTAAAACAGGAGGTGTGTCTGAGGCTGCCCAAAGAGCATTGATCTCTGCTTTGGCATGATTGGGATGGGGACATACTGCTTTGATTTTTATATTTAGAAAAACATTCACCAACAATTCTAATTTCCCTGTACACTGATTCACATCCTAAAAGGGGTACATCAAATGTAGGCTCATCTATTTCAGTGATGGAATGCTGTTCTGAGTTGAACCTCCCAACATTCAATAGATAGACCTGTGGTGGTATTGTGTTCCCCAAAATATTGTGTACTCTAATAAATTTATCTGGGGTCAGAGAACAGACAGCCACTAGATACAAAGGCTAGAAAATGGTGGCACTCACACCTTTAATCCTAGCATTCCAGAGATAGAAATCCCTCTGGATCTCTGTGAGTTCAAGGCCACATTGGAAATAGCCAAGCATGGTGACACACACCTTTAATCCCAGAAAGCCAGCCTTTAATCCCAGGGAGTGGTGGTAGAAAACAGAAAGATATATAAGGCGTGAGGACCAGAAACTAGAGGCTTTTGGCTGATTAAGAATTTGGCTGGTTAAGCATGTGGCTGGTTAAGCTTCAGGCTTTCCAGCAGCAGTTCAGCTGAGAGCCATTGGGATGAGGACACAGAAGCTTCCAGTCCGAGGAAACAGGACCAGCTGAGGAACTGGCAAGGTGAGATAGCTATGGCTTGTTCTGTCTCTCTAATCTACCAGCATGGACCCCAATAACTCGCCTCAGGTTTGATTTTATTAATAAGAACTTTTAAGATTCCTGCTACATAGACCCATCTTTAATTTTCTACTGGAAGCTCTAACACCACTATAGGAGTTAGTACTTGACTAGACAAATGGTTTTCAGCATATTGTTTGTCATAATCAGGTGAGTATCAATAGAAACTAGTTTAATATTTACAGTGTTAGACAGTTTTATTCTGGGGGTAATAAAGCAGTTCACTATCTAGAATGTCTTTACTATAAACCTGTACAACTTTCTTTAATTTTACATCAAATCAAAAAGCAAGATTTTATAATATAGTAAAATCTACACCCTATAAAATAACAAGAACACATGGATAATTTGAGTTTATGTATGTAACATAGAAATTAACTCCTAATACCATGAAAATAGGAGGGATAAGAAAAGAGAGATAAAAGAGAAAGAAAAAGATGAGGGAAGGAGGAAGGTATAAAGAGGAAAGGAAGGTATATAGAGATAGAGAAGAGTGGAGAGTGAGTGAGGATGAATAATTAGATAACTTTGAGGGAACTTGTAGTATAAGGTGGTAATGCATTTTTCCTCAGTCTGATTGTCCTTTGGATCACAGGTAATTGCAAACCGTGTTTTACACACACACACACACACACACACACACACACACACACACACACACACACGTGCATATATATCATATACAGTGATTTTATATACACATATATTGTCTTAGTTAGGTCTCTAATGCCATGATGAACCACCATGACCAAAAGCAACTTGAGGAAGAAAGGATTTGTTTCACTTACATTTCAAGTAACAGCTCATCATCGAGAGAAGTCAAAGCAGGAACTCAAACAGGGAAGGAACATGGAGGCAGGAGCTGATGCAGAGTTTAAGGAGGGTGCTGCTTACTGACTTCCTCCCTACAGCCTGCTCAACCTGCTTTCTTATAGCTCCTAGAGCTATCAGCCCAAGGATGCCACCATCCATCATTAGCTGGGCCCTCCAACATCAATCATTAATTAAGAAAATGCCCTACAGGCTTGTTTACAATCTGTCTTATGGAGGCATTTTCTCATTTGAGGGTCCCTCCTTTTCCATTATTGTAGCTTGTGTCAAGTTGACATAATACTAGCTAACACAGAGTGTCCTCTCCCTTCCTCCCTCTCTCTCTATCCCTTTCTCTCTCTCTCTCTCTCTCTCTCTCTCTCTCTCTCTCTCTCTCTCTCTCTCTCTCTGTATTCATTTGTGTCTATCTGTGTATAAAATTCCATGCCTAACAGTACTTACAGTATGTTATACATGCAATTTAAGGGATACCCATCAGTAATTGTACTAACACATTATGCTTACTTTACAGTCCACATGTAAGACATTTGTGTATCAATCTTTTGTATTATATCTTTTTTCCCCTCAGATGAGACTGCAGTTGCTCTTATTGCATATCAGTCCCTTGGGAGGTTTCTAAACGAATCCTTTTTTAGTAACAATGAAGGAATACAGAAAGTAAAATTGAACTCTCTTATTGTGAGTGGTGCCATTCATTCAGAAGTCAAACCTGTCCTGTCTGAACCTGTACTCCTGACTTTACAAAATACTCAGGTGAGCTTACTCTCAAAAAATCCTTTAAAAACAACTTTAAAGTTTATTTTTATTTTATGTGCATGAGTGTTTTGCTTTCACTGACATCTGTGCACAAGAGCATATAGTGCCCACAGAAGACAGAGTATAAGATCTCCTATAACTAGACTTCCTGACAGTTATGGGACACAATGTGGATGTTGGGTATAGAAATTGGGTCCTCTGTAAGAGCAGTTAATTCTCTTAAGTACTGAGATAATATCCCCTTTGTGAAGTGTTTAAAGGGGCAGGTGGTCTAATCAAATTTCTAAAAAGAGACAAGATCTAACTGCGATCATTGTAAAATAAGAGAAATTACAAAATGTTGAGAAACTTCAATCCTGTGTAACTTCATTACTGTTATTATTTGTATTTTCATATCAACAGTCAATCAACCATGGTTAAGAAAGCAGTCCACAGGCCCTAATCTTCCACTGTGGAAGTATTCGATCAAAGAAGATGTTTTCACATGCCTCTAGATTCAAATGGGTACTTCAAAGCCTTTGGTCACACAGATAGTCCTATTTAAATTCATTGGCAGTTGAAACAAAACAAGAGACATTAATGTTGGAAAAAGAATTATGGAGAGCTAGGGTCACCAAGGCTGTGAGTGAGATTAAAGAGTGAGAGGGGACACACTAATAAGAGTACACTTTACATACATATGGAATTGTGAAGAAGACATTCAATATAAGTTACACAATTTTTAAAATTTCAAGTGTGTATATTGATGGGAATGCAGAAAATAGAGAGTCATTGAAAAACGTAGTTGGGAATATATAGCCAGTAAGGATGGAGCCTATCAAAAAATGAGAGAGGAAACTACAATGGAATCCATCAATCCCCCTGTTGCATACATCCAAAGGATAGAAACCAAGGTTTTGGAAAGAGACTGTACTTTCATAATTCCAGTAACATTAGTCACAGTAACCAAGACTTGGAGGGAAAATACTTAATCCATCCAGGGCAGGATATGTAAATAACATATAATAAATATTATAAAATATGATGTTGCTTTGGGTTATATAATTTCAAATGGTCAGATCTGAAAATAATCATAGGAGTAATGACACTATATAGACTGAGCAGATTGTGTTTAGGGAAATATATATACATATACATGTGACATAACATCGATTAATGGAAAAAAGAAGCCAAGAATTTGAAAGAGAGCAAGGAAGGGTAAGTGGGAGTATTTGGAGGGAGGAAAGAGAAAGGAGACATATTAGTCAGAGTTCTTTAAAAGAACTGAAATAATAGAATGACAGAAAGGCTAAGGATCCATTAGTTCCATTAGTTGTTTAGCCCATGAGACCAGATGTCTCAGCAATTCCAGTTTGGTGATTGAGTCCCAGTGATGTCCTAGAGAGCTGCTGGTCTTCAGTCCACTTTAGAATCCTGAAGAAGTAATATGCTAACTCCAGTCAAAGAATGCTTCAGCATCAGGATAGATGAACTTGCCAGAGAGAGTGAGGGTAAACAGGCAAAAAAAAAAAGAAAAGAAAAAGAAAAAAAAAAGCAGTACCTCTTTCTTCCATGTCTTTTTATGTGGGTTGCAGCAAGAAGGAGTAGATGAGATTTAGGAGGGTATCTTCTGACCTCAAATGAACTAGATTTAGGGTGGATCCTCAGACCTTAAATAATACAATGAAGAAAAACCCCTGATATATATATGCCCAGATGCTTGGGTTTTAGTCAAATACAGATGTAGTCAACACAGGGAAAACAATGTAATTACAATTCCAAAAACAAAACTAGTAATAAAACAACAACAAGAAATAACATTGCCTTTCAGTGTCTCAACTGAAGGTCAAGTCTGATAAACCTTTTATGATCTCACTCAAACTGAAAAGCTAAACAGTAGAATTCTTAGTTTCTGTATAATAGAGCCTACTAGGGGATAGATTTTGTGGAAAAACCAGGAAACATGGGCTATAAAAACAAACTTTAAGTTATAACATTTTGGAGACTTAATGTGACTTAGCAATAATAGGAGTGAATCTTGAGATGATTAAATACTTTTATTAATAGAAATTAATTATAAATAATTTGGGATAAATAATGACGTTTCATACATTTATATAATGTATTAAAATTACATTCTCCCCTTCATGTTAATGTATTTCGGTCCTTCTGTTGTGTGACACATTTCCTAAAGAAATGAGCATAAATGTGTATTTACTCCAGATATGGAACCCTCAAGACAGCAAAGTAATCATACCACAAAATTCCAATTTAGTGAAGAAATGAAATTGTTAGGGTAAAAGTGAGTGGCTACTCATCAGAGCACAGATGTCTAGAAGACAGGTTCTTCACAAAAGGACCAACCCAGTGTGGGTGAGGTCCTTTTCATGAAACCTGGAAGCTCTGAGATCTCTACATGTCTTGTAGGCAGCTCTAAAGGTCAAAAAGTCTTCTTTCCTCAGCAATCCTCAAAGTTTATATAACCTTAAGGAAGGATGGGGCCTTGTGAATCAGGAATTTCCTGAGACTTCTGAGATATACACTTTCTGAATCTCAAGGATTGAATGATTCAGCTCAGAAGAAATTAGTGTAACATATACTCACTGTATATCATTTTTTTTTCAATTAAAATACAGTTGCCTCATTTCCCTTCTCTTTCCTCCCTTCAACACACTCTCATACACCCCACCTTTGCTCTTTCTCATAATCCTGGTCTCTTTTTTTAATTGTTACTATTGCATACATATACTTAAAATAGTGTATTTTTCCAAGATAATCACTGAAATTATATGCTTATTAGCTTAGTTCTTATCTTAGTTAGGGTTTCAATTGTTGGATACTTCCATAGCACTGTTCATCACTGAAGGAAATCAGGACAGGAATGCAAACAGGACAGGATCCTGGAAGCAGGAGCTGATGCACAGGCTATGGATGAGTGTTGCTTACTGGCTTGCATCCATATGGCTTGGTCAGCCTGCATTCTTATAGAACCCAGGACTACCAGTCCAGGGATAGCACTACCCACTATGAACTGGGCTCTCTCCCATTGATGACTAATTGGAAAAATGCATTACAGCTCAATCTCATGGAGGCATTTCTTCAATTGAAGCTCCTTCCTCTCTCTGATGACTAGCTGTGTCAAGTTGACACACAAAACCAGCCAGTACAGCTTTTGTATTCCATTCATAATTCTGTGAATGCACCCTGTACTTTAAATATATACATTTTACTTTGTGAATTATTTGGCACCTCAAAAAAAGCTGAGAATGAAGTGCTAAGTCACATATATACTTCCATAAAGGGAAACTATTATGCTGAAACCTATGTAGGCAATGGGGCCATGGGAATTGTTGAGCATGCTGAGAGTCAGAGGTAGGAAAGAGGGACTACCCTTTTCCAGGGGGAGCCTGGAGCAGAAAGAGGGACTCAAAAAAGACACTTGACATTTCTCTTCAAGTAGTGATCTCTCACTACAGTCCCTCATTTGTTTTGTCAGTGACAAGAAACTGGTAAGTCCATTCTAAGTCAGTGCACAGGGCACTGAGATATGCATAAAGACAGAGAATAAATGATGAAACAAAAATCTATGTGAGATGAGAGGATGTGAAATGTCCCCACATATGTTTTCCTCAATCCAGTGTGTGTCAGATTAATCTAAGTGGAGAAGTTAAAATGTAGAGGTGCAGCAAAGATAGAAGGATCAGGAAAGGTGAGGGATGAGAAAGATTAGAGAGAAAGATTAGAAGGGAAATCATTAAATCACATATGCAACCCAATGTCACATATCCTAATTAAAGATAAAGAAAAGTTGGAATTATGAAACAAAAATCATGTTCCTTCATACTGTTTTCTTTGCAGCCCATTGACCCAAGAGCAGAACATCTCTGTGTCCATTGGGAAGGATCAGAGGAAGGAGGCAGCTGGTCCACTAAGGGCTGTTCTCATATGTACACCAATGACTCCTACACCATTTGCAAGTGTTTCCAGCTGTCCAGCTTTGCTGTGCTCATGGCTCTGTCCCTCGAGGTATCAAATCTCACAGGTCTCAGCAATAAACGTGATATTACTTCAATATATATCTATAAAAGATATCCAGAAAGAATAAGTTAATTGTAGGTTTGATGAGAGATGATTCCAAGAAACACCCTTAATAACAGTTAAGTGTGAACTTGTTGCCACCTCTGTTGTCTCACTGAAGCTGCATTGAAAGATTGATTGCCAAGGTTTAATCAACTGAACTGACTGACTAGGAATGTGTTCTCTTCCCTCTTCCTCACTGACTCTTCCATGGACATCCCCCCTGAAGACACATGCTTGGTCAAAGATGCTGACCATCCAAGAAAGAGGAGGGCCATGCTTCTGTCAAATGTTTTGTTAGTTACTTTGCTGTTACTGTGATAAAATTTTGTGACTGAAAGCAATATAAAGAGGGTTCATTTGGCCATCTGGTTCCAAAGGGATGGTGTGCATCATGGCATTGAAAGTGTGGCATCACATCAGAAGCAGGAAGCAGAGAGGTCACACTTTGTCCACAGATAGGAAGCAGAGAAAGCAAAAGAGAAGGGGAAATGGTGCACAGTTATAAACCTTCAACACCTCCCCAGAGTGACATATACCCTTTGGAAAGAGAGTATCTCTTAAAGGCTCTGTAACTTCTCCAATGTACACCACCAACTGGGGAATCAATTTTGAAGTACACAAGTCGATGGGGACATTCACTTCTGAACCCCTACAAAGTTGCATGGGTAGCTTCTCTCCCCTGATAGAGTTTCCAAACAAATGCCCAAGAAATACCAGTAGTGGATTGTGGAGATGAAATGGGAACAGTATGCATGCCAACGCATATAGTATTTACAAGTTAATTGCTACTTTGGGTGTATGTGTCTCATAATACCCTTGGAAAATGCTTGGAATCAGTGCAGAACATTCAGTTCAGAGTTATCATAATTGAAGGATGGTGGATCTTGGGTATGACACATGACCTTTCTTCAGTAATTTTATTTCAGCTGTGTCCAGTGGTAGCATGTTATGAAAATTTCATAGTAACTAAAAAATAAAATCATGACTCAAGTCATTTTAAGAAATACAGTTGTAGAAACATCAGGTGGGTGGGTTAAGCAAAGCTGGGGAAATTCTGACTCTTCCATAAGTGTGTCTGGAGTAAGCACAACCCAGCAAGGAAAACCCTCATATGTTGGGAAGTAAGGTCAGCAGATCCCAAAGTAGTAGGTTCCAAGGGGATCTGGAATTAAAGGCATTACTTCACTTGCAAAACAGTTATATCTAAATTTTCCTGGCTGAACCAAACTAAGGCAAGTAGCTATCATCAAATACTTAGCATGGCCCCCTAGAATTTTAAATGTCAAATGAGTCTGAGATAACTTAAGTTGAAAGAAAGTCACCTAATGGCTTCCTATTAACATGAAATAACAAAATTATCAAAGCTCCTACTTCATAGGAAATAAAAATACTTATTCTAGGGCCAAATATCAGTGACAATGACCCAGAAAACAAATTCAGATTACTCTAAATACCAGGTTTTTATAGTAAGAGAACAAAGAAAATAGTGGATGAAGTCAATTCGAACACAATTGTGGAACACCAGATAGGTGGGTCACAGTAAGCTTGGAAATCTGGTACAGCCTCAGAGGCTGAAGACATTTTGAGCCTTTTGGTTAGTAAAGGTTAGGGGTTTGCTTGTGTGTTTCAAAAGGATTTACAGAATATACATAAGGATGCTAGGTGGCACACTGGTGGTAATAGATGCTATCACAAGGCTAAAAACAACCACCATATTATTACTGCTATTCTGCAATGTTCCAGTTCTCCACAGTCACAGGTTTCAGTCAGTAAGTCAGCCTTGTAGGATGTTTAACACTTGTGGCTGTTAGTATCTAATTTAAATGTGCACTCCCCTGTTTCACTTTAGCCCCTGTTTATTAACTATTTTACTATTCAATGTCCCTCATGCTGTTTACTTCCACATTCATGTTTCATTTAGTTACTATTTACTAAGTGAGTAAACATGTGCTAAGCACTAATCTCAACTGTAATGGTACAACAGATAATGTGACATGACAAGACCCCAGACTTCCTAATGCTGATGTTCATGATGACTGTAGTGTATACGTGGAGACTCTGATGTATTCTTCTGTGGCTTGTAGGAGGACTCTGTGCTTTCGGCACTCTCTGTGATCACCTACGTGGGACTGAGTCTTTCTCTATTGTGCCTATTCCTGGCGATTGTCACCTTTCTCTTGTGCCAGCCCATACAGAATACAAGCACTACACTCCACCTACAGCTCTCCATCTGCCTCTTCCTGGCTGATCTCCTCTTCCTCACAGGCATCAACAGAACTGAGCCTAAGGTTAGTTACTTCATTGTCCAAATAAGTCATAGCCATCTTGTCTGGAGCAAGCATAAAGAGAGGGATTCATCAGTAGAGATGTCTAGAGGAAATGCAGAATGGAAATTTCAGCTCTCTTTATGTGTAGAATTGAAAAAAATTTGTATATTTGATTATTTTAAAACTGAAAGCATTCCTAACAGCAGTGTTACCTGACAATGTTCTTGGTGTATGTGGTATCTGTGTGTCTGTGTGTAGTGCATGAACATGAGTGTACAGGTATGAGCAGTTATGTGTATGAATGTAGCTGCCAGAGCAGGGTGTCAGGTATCTATCTCTATTGTGTCCTCTTTATTGCCTTGAGACACAGTTTCTCAATGAATCAGGAGCTTGCTATTTTGGCTAGGGTGGCTGACCAGAGAGCTTTTGGGATGTATCTACCTCCCCCACCTCATAGTGTTGAAGTTGTAGGCACCTACAGCCATGCAAAACTTTTATGTGGTTGTTGGGGATTTGAACTCATGTTCACGTTTGAAAAGCAAGTGCTTTTACTCACTGAGTCATCCCCCAAGCCATAGCTAAGTTTCATAACATTTGTCAATAGAAGTAAACAAATACATTTGAAGTATGCCAATTCTTCACCTACATGGTAAAGACATCTCTGTTATCATCTATACACGGCTTCAAAGTCACCCTGACTTGATCATCCCATGCTGTGTATACATGTTGAAATGCTATAACATACCACAGGACCATGTTAAATTAATAGGCATCCATTAAAATAATAATGCACGGTCTTGTTTCTGTAGTCAGCTACTTGGGAAGCTACAGGAGGATTGTGAGTCAGAGGTCAGCCCTGGCAATGTGGTAAGACTCTAGCTCAAAATAAATAATTAAAAACACAGAAAATTGGTGGGCTCATTAAGAAGAGATTGCTACACTGGGCTCACCACTCATCAATAGTTCATTGTTGATATTGTTAGTGGTTTCTGTATAGAAGGACAAGGGTTTCCTTCTCACTGTCTCTGTTCCTCTGTCACAGACTGATGTATAAAAGGAAGTATTCCCAGAAGTGGCCCTTTGAACTTTGAATTCCTAGTTGCTAGAGGAAGCTAGGAACATCTGTCTATTAGGAAATCTATGGTCTTCAGTAAGGTGCTTTGCATCACTAAATGAACAGAGGCTAGATCAAGCTAATTAGCATATGCATTCTCTCTAAAGATTATCATCTTGTGTGGTGAGAATACTTGAAATCTACCCTTGGCAGTTTCTGAATGCTGGGTATGATGCAAACTGATAGAGAAGTTACCTCACATGTTAAAGACTCTGCAAAAACAACCAAACCCCAAATTAAATATACATGAACAACAAGAAAACCCAGAAAATAAAATACAAGATAAAACACTTACATGTTTTATCTGTCTCCACTTACATGGTAATGATAAAATTTCCTTGTTAAAGAAATGTTTTGTTTCATATGTTATTCATTTTTTATTTATTATCCTTATATACTTTGTTAATATTTTCCCATAAAGAGGAGGATATTTTCATGTTTCCTTTTGTAAATGATATTTGGCAGTTTTTGATATTAGAATCTGACTTCATAGAGTGATCAGGGAAGTAATTTTACAGTACAAGCTGCAAAGTATTTGTGATACTTATGGATCACTGTGGTGGTATTGTGTTCCCCAAAATATTGTGTACCCTAATAAACTTATCTGGGGTCAGAGACAGAACAGCCACTAGATACAAAGGCTAGAAAATGGTGGCACTAATGCCTTTAATCCTAGCATTCCAGAAGCAGAAATCCATGTGTTCAAGGATAGAGCTAAGCATGGTGACTCACACCTTTAATCCCAGAAAGCAAGCCTTTAATCCCAGGGAGTGATGATAGAAAGCAGAAAGGTATAAAGGTGTGAGGACCAGAAACTAGCAGCATTTGACTGGTTAAGCTTTTAGGCTTTGAGTAGCAGTTCAGCTGAGATCCATTGGGATAAGGACACAGAGGCTTCCAGCCTGAGGAAACAGCATCAGCTGAGGAACTGACAAGGTGAGGTGGCTGTGACTTGTTCTGTCTCTCTGATCTTCCAGCATTCACCCCAATACCTGGCTTCAGATTTGTTTTTATTAATAAGACCTTCTAAGATTCCTGCTACAGATCACAAGCAGGCATGTATTTTAAAGCTCAATTTCCTAATATTTATTTCTATTATCATCTTATTTATGTTGTGTAAACTTGGGTGTCCATCTACTGAAAGTGATGAAATCTCATCCTGAGAGAACATTTATTGTATTATGCAGCACTAATAAACAGTAAATGTTGTTATCGGAGGGCTCATTATCATTTTCTTTAAACATGGATCTTGCAACAAAGAGTTGATGATGAACTTTTTTTTTTCCTTTTATCTAAGACACATTCAGCTAGGAAGGAAAATAAAACCAATATGGAAAGAGTGTCAATGAATGGTTGCTTTCAAGAAAGTACCCAGCATAACAATTGCAGGTAGATTCCACTGAAGACCTCCAGGAGGCAGTCTAGAGTAATGATATAGAGTTCTGTTTAAAGTTCTAGGGCAATGGAGTATGGGTCTATAAACCCTTGTGAATTACCAATCTGAGGCATACTCTGACAACATCTTGGCATTTTCTGACCTAATTATTGATTCACTTGGAAAGTAAATTTCAATGACCAAAAGGGGCCCCCTCGATGTGCATTGTCTCCAGGAAAAGTGCTAGAGAATCCTGTTGAGATCCCAGGCCAACACACAGTGAAAAAAAGATACTGAGAATTGAACAAGTACAGCCTGAATCTGCACCACACTCCCTTTTCTTTCTCCTAGGTGCTGTGCTCCCTCATTGCAGGAATGTTGCATTACCTCTACTTAGCTTCATTCATGTGGATGTTTCTTGAAGGGCTACACCTTTTTCTCACTGTGAGGAATCTTAAAGTGGCCAACTACAGCAGCTCAGGAAGATTCAAGAAGAGGTTCATGTACCCTGTAGGCTATGGAATCCCTGCCTTTATTGTCGCGGTGTCTGCGATAGCTGGCCATGAAAATTATGGAACACACACCCAGTAAGCATAAAGTGTGCAAGGTAGAAATGTATAAATGTAACTTCAACACCAAACTTCTCATTGGACAACTAACCTATTTTTTATATTGCTCTTCAAACCAGCCTGTCTGCATATTACTGTCTTACAAATCCCAATAGTGTTGGTTCTCAGTGTCTTGTTTTGCTGTTGTTGGTTAACATTTATTCTAGCTATGACATGAAAAGTTGTCCATTCATAGATGCCATTTGTTGCCCATAATTATGTATATATTTGTTGAACAAATAGATCCTGTTTTATTTACTGAATTTTGGTTTGTTTGAGACACGGTCTCAAGCATCCCAGATTGGCCTGAAACTCACTGTGTAGTCTAGGATGTCCTTGAGCTCCCCATCCTCCTGGCTCTACCTCCTAGGTGATTAAGTGAGAGGCCTTCAGCCCCACATCCAGTTTGTGCAATGGTGAAGGTAGAACCCAGGTATTTGTGCATGCAAGGTGAGAAGTCTCACAACTGGTCCATATCCTTTGTCTCAGATTTTCTAATTCTTAAACCCACAGTCTACTGGAAATCCTTAGCAGATTTGGTATTTGATCACATTGAGAATTTTTGTAAAATGAGAAATCCATTCACAAACAAGTCTACAGACATAAAAAAAATGAACCCAACTTCATGAAATTAAGAAATGGCTAAAGCAATCCCACTAAATCCCCATTGACTATGTTTTCAAGGAACCACAAACAGTAGGTAGATTAAGACCAATTCGCTGAATGACAGTACACATTGAGAAGAAAAATACCAAGTACCCAAGTCTGGTTTGCTGCTTGTGTGTCTGTCAATATTACTCCATGATGATGGAAGTTCTTTATTTCATTGATAAACCAGTGACAAAATACCACATTAATTCTTTTCAACTGATATGCCTGATGTTCAGCTTGAACCCTACCCTTTTCTCACTGTGAGGAATCTTAAACCCTACCACTCATCAGAATGATCTTGGAGACTGAATGGTAGAGAAGATTGGGAGCAGGCACATTGTTTCAATAAAGGGCCAAACACTAAATATCTTAGGTTTATAGACCAACTGGTCTCTGTAGCAATAAGTTTATATTACATTTCCATGGTAAAAGCAGCCACTGGTGATATACAAAGGAAGGGGTGCAACTGAGTCCCAGTAAAATTCTACATACAAAATATAAGTAGTTGATGACTGCATTTGCTACATGGTTGTAGTTTTCAAAGCAAGAAGACAGCTTAAAGCGGATGTTTACTGTATGGTAAATATTGACCATGGCACATTATAGTTATCAGATTCATAGTTCCATGCCAGGACCCAATTTAGAAAAAAAGTTCCACTAGATTGGCTGACATTTTCTATGACAAAATGTGACAGTCTTCAATAAATAGAGTATTTTGTACATGAAATATGTTTAATTTTGGCTGGTTGAGTTAGCATAGAGTTAATTATTGGTTTGATGGTCTTATTATCTCTACGATTGTCATTATAACAGCTACATCCAAGGAGTCCTGACTTTTGCCTCCAAATTTACATGTTTCATCCCACTTAGCCTTAACTACAGCTTGCAGATGAGATACTTCATGAATGACCAATAAAAATAGTTTAGAACAGATGGAGAACTGTCCATGTTTACAGAGAAAAAGAGTCAATCTTCCTAAGATGTTTTGCAAAAAATTGTTTTACATATTTAAAACATTCAAAAATCCCCCAAAATTATCTTGTGTATATTGGAGAAATTATCAAAAGTCTAGTGGAGAAGGAATAAGATCGAGAATTAACAACCCAAAACTTCAGAGAAATGCAAGCTACTAAGTTTTAAATACCCCATTGCTTCTCCAGTCATTTAATCTTTACCATATTTGACCACTTCGTACTTCAAACTTGGAAAAGCTGATGCTTAGTGCACCCAGCTCATGTCAGACAAGAACTTCATCTGAAATCTAGCTTGGAAATAAATTGTTCTGCACAGTGTTAGATCATATTTTGGGGCCTTTGCTCAACTCCTATAGTGAGAAAGAGCTAATTCTTATCTCCTTTCCACAGCTGCTGGCTCAGCATTCATAGAGCATTCATCTGGAGCTTCTTGGGTCCAGTAGCAGCCATTATCTTGGTAGGTGAATGTTATATGCACTTGTTATCTGTTAAATGGAACTGAATTGAAGATGTGGAGCCAGAGCTCAGTCTGAAAGGCCCGTGTTCCTGAATATATTGTCATCATTCATCTACCCCTCATTTGCTTATCTCCCTTTAGCTGACTTTTTCAACTTTATTGTTGAGAAATTTATGTAAGTATACAAGGAACTATGGTTCTATTTACCACCTATTTCTTCCCTTTAGTTCTCCCCCACAACTTGACATTCTCCTCCTCCTCCTCCTCCTCCTCCTCCT